AAAGAAAGAAAGAAAGAAAGAAAGAAAGAAAGAAAGAAAGAAAGAAAGAAAGAAAGAAAGAAAGAAAGAAAGAGAGAGAGAGAAAGAGAAAGAGAGAAAGAAGGAAAGAAAGAAAGGAAGGAAGACTCATCCAAGTGAAAATTCTAAGGTGACTTCAGGCATGGCTGGGTCAAGGATCTCAAACAATCAACAAGATTTGGTCTTTCTGTGTGTCAGCTCTGCTTTCCTGTGTGGGTGTCACTCTTGAGCATCCTCCTACCACGTGATACATTCCCAGCAGCTCCAGGCTTTCACCTTCCCTGCTTCAAATCCAGGAGAAAGAGAAATTATTTTAAATAGCTCCAAGAAAGATCCCAAGATCAAGTCTCCGCACAGCCTGGTGGCTGAGTTCCAAAGCAAACATCTCTAAAAAGCTATAAAATGTCACTTCCACTGTAGTCATGGTCCCATTCAGACTCGGGGGAGGTGAGGGAGGTAAACCCCAGCTTTCAATGGTTGGCATGTCAAAGAAGAGTACATGGGGAAAGACATATTGCTGCAGCCATCTTTGAAAACTACAATCTGTCCCAGCACTTTGGGAGACCGAGGTGGGCGGATCATGAGCTCAAGAGATGGAGACCATCCTGGCCAACATGGTGAAACCCCGTCTCTACTAAAAATACAAAAATTAGCTGGCGTGGTGGCATGTCTCTGTAGTCCCAGCTACTCAGGAGGCTGAGGTAGGAGAATTGCTTGAACCCGGGAGGCAGACGTTGCAGTAAGCCGAGATCACACCACTGCACTCCAGCCTGGCTACAGAGCAAGACTCCATCTCCAAAAAAAGAAAAGAAAAGAAAAGAAAGAGAAAAATACAATCTGCCAGCGACTAGTGTGCACATTCCACTTTAAGAAGCCCTGCACTACAATAATGTTGGGCTCATTGTTTATTTGACACTCTGCTTTCCAAATTTCCTAATATGTACAACCAAAGAAACATAGTGGAGATTATTTATATTGCAAATTCCCCCTCTGTGTACACATAGTAAGTAAGGAAACAGGATATTTTTTAAAGTAATCTCCATTTTTCACTTATCTGTTCACTCAGTAAATATTTGTAGAGTGTCACTTACATGGACAAGGCACAGTCCCAGGTGCTAGGATAGAGTGATAAACAAGATGACATGGTCCCTGGTCTTGTGAAGCTCCAGTCCAGCAGGAAAGACAGTTTTTGTAGGGTAATTGCAGCTATAATGATTGTAATGACAAAGGAAATGAATATACCATGGAACCTGAAACAGGGAGGATTCACCTTGTCTTGGGGTTCAAGGAGGACCTGAAAGATGAATGGGAGTTACTGGTCAGCTATCACCTTCTTTTTTTTTTTTTTTTTTTTTTTTTTTACGGAGTCTCGCTATCTCCCAGGCTGGAGTGCAGTGGCGCGATCTCGGCTCACTGCAAGCTCCACCTCCCGGGTTCACGCCATTCTCCCGCCTCAGCCTCCCAAGCAACTGGGACTACAGAATCCCGCCAACATGCCTGGCTAATTTTTTGTATTTTCAGTAGAGACGGGGTTTCACCATGTTGGCCGGGATGGTCTGGATCTCCGGACCTCGTGATCCGCCCGCCCCAGCCTCCCAAAGTGCTGGGATTACAGGGGTGAGCCACCGCGCCCGGCCAACTGTCACCTTCTTATTAAAATTCTCACAACTGGCCCCCACCTACCCACACACCCCATCCCCCTTCCTGGCTGTAGCTTTCTCTATATCTCTTTTTTTTTCATCTAACATAGCATATAGTTCATGCATTTATTTTTCTTTATTGTCTTTCTAACCCTACCAGGATATAAGCTCCATGAGGGTGGAAATTTGTCTCTGTCACTGTGGTATCCCCAGTACCTATGCAAGTGCCTGGCACATAAAAAGCACTCAATTAATATTTTTTAGGTGGACGCAGAGGGTTCCTGGAAGGGGGACTGTCATGTGCGCAGGATTTGAGAGACAGAGTGTGGAACTAAAAGGAGAAGTCCAGCAAAGCCAGAATGTTGAAGGAGACAGAAAATAGAGTCCACTGCAAATAATCCAATCATGTATTCGCCAACTACTTATTGGATGTCTACTATGTGCCAGGCACTGTTCTGGGCATACATTTTGAGTGTTCAAAAAAAGGGCAGAATTCATCACTAGGTTTCAATCAATAAATAGGTTTTATATGAACATGTAGTCAAAACCAATTTGCAAAGGCACTGTCACAGTGAATTCTGTAAGCTTAATACATCCCTGCTATGGACTGAATTGTGTTCCCCAAAACTCAAATATTGAAACCCTGACTTCCAGCGTGATGGTATTTGGAGATGGGACTTGAGGTAACTAGATTTAGATGAGGTCATGAAGGTGGGGCCCTCATGATGGGATTAGTGCCCTTGTAAGTAGAGACCAGAAAACTCTCTCTCTCTCTCTCTCTCTCTCTCTCTCTCAATCTCTCTCTCAATCTCTCACCCTCTCTCCATTCATCCATCTCCACATCTCCATCACTCTCCTTCTCTCAGATTTACTTCTCTTTGCACATTAGCCTCCTTCCCTCATCTGATGATGGCTTCCTCCAGGTAGTCAGGGAAAATGTCCCTGAGAATCACCAAGTTTATTGTCCTCCCTGTTTCTTCTCCCAGAGGAAGAGAAACCCTCCTTTTCTCAGGACCTCTATCTGTCCCTAGTGAGAACTCGGGTTGGCCTGGGTGGGGCATATGCTCCCTTCTGGGCCCATCGTGAGACCCAGGGAATTGGAGAACTCTCATTGGCCAGCCTGGGGAGGGCCAAGAAGTGATTGGAAGTGGCTTTGATAAGGGAAAAATGAGTGTCTGTTGCCAGAAGAAGAGAAAAGGAATACCGGCCAGGTAAAAATTACTGAGATCCCCTGCATCACCCAGTGGCTACTTGCCTCTGGGCCTATGTCCTCTCTGGGACCAAGATGGCATTGCAAATGACAGTGTGATGAAGCCCTCCTCTGCATCCGCCCAATCCTGACACCCTACCCAGCCTTCATGCCTCAATCCAAATGCAAACACTTCTGTGAGGCCTTGCCTGATTCCCTAAGATCAAAAGTAGTCATCCTGTCCCCACTGTCAAGGACATACAGGGGCCAATGATGGTGCTGGACTCTTACATCATCTCCCAGATCCTCACATCTTCAGGAAATAAGTATTCTGCATTTGATGGGTAAGGCTGCCATAACAAAGACCCATAAAAACTAGGTAGCTTAAACAGCAGTCATTTATTCTCTTGCTGTTCTGGAGATAAGAAGTCCAAAGTCAAGGTGTCAGTCTGGCTGGTTCCTCCTGAAGGCTGTGAGGGAAAGTCTGTTCCAGGCCACTCCCCAAGCCCTAGGCCTTCCTTGGCTTGGAGATGACCATCTTCTCCCTATGTCTTCACTTCGTCTTCTCTCTGTCTCTGTTTCCAAATTTCCCCTTTTTTAAGGACAACACTGATATTGGATTAGAACTCACCTTAAGGACTCCACCTTAACTTGATCATCTGCAAAGACCCTGTTTCACATTCACAGGTACTGACGGTTAGAACTTCAACATCTTTTGGGAGGCATGTGACTCAATCTACTAAGCCCCCCTTTTTTTCTCCACATGAGGAAACTGAGTCAGGGGATTTAGGTAATCTTTCCAGGGCCACAAAGCCAGCAGGCACCCTAGATGCTAAGGCCTGGGGGTCTTAACAACTTCACTATGTCCCTGTTCGTGTTTTTCTCCAGAAATTTCACCTCTCTTCAGGACACTCAACAGACTCAACAGGACACTGTTTACAGGATTCGTGTATAATTTTGCTTCACCCATCTAGACTGTAAATCTCTTTAAAAACAGGGGTTGCACCTATTGTTTATTTTCTTTCTTTTTTTTCTTTTTTTGAAATGGAGTCTCACTGACTCTGTCACCCAGGCTAGAGAGCAGTGGTGGGATCTCAACTCACTGCAACCTCCACCTCCCAGGTTCAAGGGATTCTCCTGCCTCCGCCACCTGTGTAGCTAGAGTTACAGGCGTGAACCTCCATGCCTGGCTAATTTTGTATTTGTATATAGAGACAGGGTTTCACCATGTTGGCCAGGCTGGTCTCAAACTCCTGACCTCAAACAATCCACCTGCCTCGGCCTCCCAAAGTGCTGGGATTACAGGCATGAGCCACTGCTCCTGGCCTGAACCTATTATTTCTGTTTCCCCAGCCCACCCAGCAGGGGCCCAATCCATAGCTCTCAGACGAATAGAGGTGAACACCAAGATCAGAGGAAAAGCTGACTGGTGTTCTTCCTGGATCATTTCATTTTTGAACCAGAGAAGTCTCATCTTGAAGCGTTAATAAAGAAGCTTTTATTTGTCCCTCTGGCTTATTCATTCTCTCGACAACTATTTAATGATTCCTTCCTATGAGTCGAGCATACTGCTAGGCATTGAGATAAATCAGGCAGAACCTACACCCTCTTAGAACTTACAACCTGGTAAACAAGACAGATGAGTCAATAGATCCTTGTAATGCAATGTCTCAGGGAGCACTTATTTCTCAAGTAAAGATTGTTTTGGAGTCAGGAGTCCTCAGAAAATCAATGAAGGCAGGACTTGCCTCTAAGGCAAGGACTTGAACGACTTCTAAGAAGTTGAAGAAGAGGCCCTATAAGCCAGAGACCATCTTAAAACATCAAACTATAGGTCAGGCATGATGGTTCACAACTGTAATCTCAGCACTTTGGGTATCCAAGTAGGGGACGCCATTTGAGCCCAAGAGTTTGAGACCTGCCTGGACATCATGGCAAGACTCTGCCTCTACAAAAAATAAAAATAAATTAGCTAGTCTTGGTGGTGCCTGCCTGTGGTTCCAGCTACTTGCGAGGCTGGGGTGGGAGGATTGCTTGAGCTCTGGAGGTTGAGGCTGCAGTGAGCGGTAATCACACAACTGCACTCCAGCCTAGGCAATAGAGTGAGACTCCACATCCCAAAAAACCATCAAACTATAATACCAGAGAATTCCAGCAAATAATCTCCCTGCTCCTGGTATGGCAGAGAGCCAGACTGAAAAGAGTATGCTTGAGACACTATCTTGAAGCTTGGTCTAAGCCAGCAAATCATAGAAAAACCTCACATGGGTTTCAAATCCAGGCAAGCCTCGGCTCAGATACAGACTCTACTACTCATTAACTATGTGCAGTTAGGGAAATCTCCTAATCTTTATTTAAGTCTTAGTTTCTTCATCTGTAAAATGGGATAATGATAACAAATTGACCCAGTTCTTATGTGGATTGGGTGAAACAAATACACAAAGCACATCCTGTAGTAGAAAAGGACATTTATAAATGTCATGAAAGCAGATTTTGGACATAGCAGACCTGGGTTTGAATTCCAGCTCTGCTCAATGCCACCTTGGGAAGCTGCTAGACCTCACTAAAGCTCAGTTCCCCCCTCATAAAGTAGGGAAAATAATGATCTGCCTCATGGAGTTGTTATGAGATTCATTGAATAAATATATAAAACACTTAGCACATAAATGTGAGTCATTGCTCTGTTTTTCCTGTCTACATGGCCATGTGGCTCTTGCTATTATCTCATGTTTTTTTCCCATCTTCTGGTCTGGGATTCCTAGATGAGCTCTGACCATTTCCTTTTTTCTTTTTTAATTGTGATAAAATATATATAACGCACAATTTTCCATTTTAACCCTTCTTAGGTATGCACTTCAGCAACATGGCGTATATTCACAATGCTGTGCAACCATCACCACCATCCCTCTCTAGAACATTTTAATCATCCCAAACTGACACTGTGTATCTATTAAACAACACCAACACCCCCTGCCATCACATTCCTCCTCCACTGTCCCACACCAGCAACGACCATTCTATTCTCTATTTCGACTCTTCTCAGCATCTCATATAGGTGTAATCATACAGTATTTGCTTTTTGTGGCTGCCTTTTTCACTTAGCGTAATGTCTTCAAGGTTTATGCATGTTGTAGCATGTGTCCAAATTTTGTTTGCCGACCATTTCTTTTCAAGTTCAAGTCCATTTGTTGTTCCCTCCTCCAACTCAGGCCACCCCTCTGCCAACTGGAAATATGGAGGCATAATAACACACAAGACAGTATCTGTGTGCAAACAAAACACAAACTGTCTTTTTCCTGACTACAAAAGTAATGCATATTCTTTCCTATGGAGCATTTGATGACAGTTCTAAATTCCTCTGAAGGCCACATCATCATCACCCATGGCCCCTTGGATGACGAATGTGTTTCTTGCAGGGAATGGCTTTGTTAGTTTTTCTTCCTATAGGGTGGGGCAGGGCTGAAGCAACAGGCAGCTTCTAACCAATGTTTATTCCAAGCAACACCATCGCATATCCACAAATCTACATTCACTGCATCACCTATCTTTCTCTGGATCCAAAGCTGAAAACACCCTATTGCTCTTCTCCTTGGGACATAAATATTTCCTTGATCCTATTAATTTTTTAAAATAGATATTGTTGTGGAGTTTGAAACCCCTCTGTCATGCTAATGAGCTTGGCCTTGCCTGCCCACCACCTCCACCCCAACCCCAGAGACTCATCCATCACTGTTCACTGGCTGGGTTTGGGAGGCTCACCAGCTGGGCTTTGGGAGGCTCACCCTGTACTCCTACCCCACCCTGCCCCCAGGAGCTATCATGGAAAAGATGGTGCAGTGTTGCTTGTAATAGTGGAAAGTCGAAGCAACCTAAACATCTAACACTAAGAAATTTGTTAAATAAATGGAAGCACACTGATACAACAGAATAGCCTGGAAGCTGTTACAATTAGGGTGAAGAGCAAAAAAGCATGGAAAGGTATTCAGAATAATCCCATTGTGCGTGTGTGAATGTGAGTGTGCATGTGTGTGAACCTTCACTATATAAAGCAGAATTACTGTGACTTTTCTTGTCTTCTTTGGCCTTGTCTGCATTTTTTGTATTAGATTCCCAGGGCTTCCATAACAAATTATCACAAATTTAGTGGCTTACAAAAACAGAAATTTATTTTCTCACAGTTCTGGAGGCCAGAAGTCCCAAAACAAGATATCAACATGGCCATGATCCCTCCAAAGTCTCTAGCTGGGAGCCCCTTCCTTGCCTCTTCCGTTTCTGATGGCTGCCAGCATTCCTTGGCTTGTGTCCACATACTCCAATCTCTACCTCCACATCATATGGCTTCTCCTCACCTTCTCTTCTTCCAAGGGTCTGTCTCTAAACTCCCTCTGCCTCACTCTTATAAAGATACATGTGACTGCGTTTAGGACCCGCCCATATCATCCAGGATAAATTCTTTTTCTCAAGATCCTGAATTTAAACACATCTTACTTACTCCTGACCACATAATGTAATATTCACAGGTTCCAGGGGATTAGGACATGGACAGATCTTTTGAGGATCCATCTTTCAGCCCAATTCACCTTATAATCAACAAAAAGAAACTTCATGTTTTCCTTTTAAGGACTCACTAGTTCCCACATGATTTTAGCTGGAATCCCCACTGCCTGGCTCATGATAGACACAAAGTAAATATTTGTTGAAAGAATGAATAAACTGCCCAGAGTAGGCACTGTGTTCAGGGTGAGAAATTATAAGTGGCTTCTTTCCTGTTTAATTGTTCTTTGTTATTTTTTATTACTACTGTTTTCAGATGCCAAAAAAGATACTTTCTTCTCCTTTTAAAGCTAGGAAGCTAACACTTTCCTAGAGTCCAATATTATAGCACAGGAGGGGGTTTCAGTTTTATTGGTCTGTCTCCATCCAAAGAGGGTAAATACATGAAGAATTCTCACTCTCGGTGCCCTCCTGCCCAGTTTCATTTCTGCAGCCACTTCACAGCAACGTGAAGCCAGATACTGATGTTTTAAGACAGGATCTCTTGTCATTTTGCTCTTCTCCCTTCTGGCACTGGGAACGTTGCTGAGCACCAGAGTCAGAGGCTGAGCATCTGAGAGTGAGATTTATTACCTAGTCTCCCACCTCAGAACCCCTTCCACGCTACATACCCCTTAATCCCATTTAAGCAAATAGCACTGAATCTCTACAGGGTCTAGTTTAAGAATGATGAATTGATGCAACTGTGCTCCGCCTGCCACATACACACATGCACACACACACGCACATTGCGAACTGGTTGTGACAATCTTTACACACAGCAACAAGAGCCTTCTAAACACAGCTCCTTGGGCATCCATGGCCATTGGTCCAATTTGACATGTGAGATAAAAGCCATTTGCCGTTCCTCATCTAGCCTTGGTGAAGAATATCTCTTCATTATTAACAAACAGAAATGGATTGGGCTCCTAATGCTTGTAGGGTTTTGCAACCCAGATGTGGATTCAGGGAATGGGATTCATGGAATGTACAAAAAAAAGAGACACAAGACAAGCCAGGTGGCCTGAGCTAAGGGCCAAAAATGTGATGCACTCAATGTTTTGGAGAAATTGAGATGTCGGTGGAGACCATGAGGGCTCCAGGAAAGCTGCTGGGAACGTTAGACTAAAGAAGACCATGGGGCTGTGTGGGAATAAGACTTAGATGAGTGGAGGGGAGTGACAGGTGCACCAAAGTCTCAGAAATCACCACTAAAGTACTTATCCATGTAACCAAACACCACCTGTTCCCCAAAACCCTATTGAAATACAAAAATAAAAATAAAATAAAATGGGCCAGGCATTGTGGCTCACACCTGTAATCCCAGCACTTTGGGAGGCTGAGGCGGGTGGATCACCTGAGGTCAGGAGTTCAAGACCAGCCCGGCCAACATACTGAAACCCCATGTCTACTAAAAATACAAAAAATTAGCTGAGCATGGTGGCAGGCACCTTTATCCCAGCTACTCGCAAGGCTAAGGCAGGAGAATCACTTGAACCCAGGAGGCAAAGGTTGCAGTGAGCCAAGATCGTGCCATTGCACTCCAGCCTGGGCAACAAGAGTGAAACCCCATCTCAAAATAAATAAATAATGAAATAAAATAAGATGAGTGGAGGAAAATGGAGAGAAGAATTCAGACCTCAAGGAGAGTGTGACCTAAAGCTCAGAAACAGACAGGAATGCATGGGGTGTCTTCTAGGAATAGACAGCAAATCAATTTAGCTAACACCAAGGTCATTCAGGCTCCTGCCCAAAGGTCACCTCTTCAGAGAAGCCTTCCCCAACCAGTCCAGCTAAAACAGAGACTTTGCTTTTCCTCCTGGTCCTCTAGACTATGAGCTCCACCAAGACAGAGACCTTGTCTATTGCATTCCCCACAGTGCTCCCAGCACCTGGGCCATCTTCTGCGCAGAAGATACTCATTGAATGCGTGAAGGGACCAAGGACTCTTGCAGGGGCACTTGCAGGAGCTC